GGGCCGAGGCCCAGGCCAGCCAGGCCTCCAATGGAGGCAGGCTCTTTCCATATAGGAAAGAGCTCGCTGCCTGGCTGGTTATTCGGCACTTGCATCCTGGCGGCAGTGCTGCTGGAGCGGACGCTCGTGGGCTGCTGCTGGCGCTGAGAGGCAAGGTGCTAGCGTGTGTGGTCGTGCAGGGAGCAGGGCGCTGCTGAGGGCAACGCCATAGCCCAGCCTCCATAGCTGGATGGGCTTGGACTACAGTGAGGCACAGGGGTGGTCTTCGGGTGTACAGAGGGAAAATGTGGGTGTAAGATGAGGGAGAGAGAGAAGGATGATGATGATGTGAGGGCACATACCTCGTATTGGCGATGGTCTGCTACGGGCGACATCTTCAAGTACTTTGTTGGCTGCTGACGTCAACAGTTGCATTGTCAATTAGTAGGCTAGTAGTAGCTGTGTAGGGAGTAGGCTGGGCGCCGAGAGCCAAGCAGGGAGAAGGGCCTGGATACATATTTTGGTGGTGGCGAGAACAAGCTCTCATTGACGTTGGTTTACAGGTTACGATTCTCAATTGGTGTCATATTGGTGCAATGCTGCTTTGTGAACACTGTGATAAGATCTGGCATTCAATGTGATTGTGCAATCTGAATATTGTCATCTCGCCATTGCTCATTTTCCTTGTAATTTGGTATCGGAGCTGGTTCGAACTGCGCTTCCTTGGTTCTTCGCCATAGCTGTTTGGTGCTTTGCATGAGGTGTGGGGCAGTGATAAGGCTTGGGCGTTGAACAGAAGGCGGCCCAGGGTCGTGTGGGCGCGCCAGGAAGCTATGTGGCAACATTAGGGATGTACGTTAGATGATGAGAGCTGATGTGGCATTTAAGTCGAGGTGGAACTGCATTCTGCTGTTTGTTGTGCTAAGGCAAAGACCGGTCATCATTAGATGCCGGTCATCAGATCCTCGCATTCCCTCCTCCTGTACTTCTATAGTCCTCTGAGAAGTCTTCTATTCTGCAGGCATCTTTCCCTTGAGATGTCTTTCGTAGCCTGCAATAACTTGAGGTGCAGTTCTCATGAGTTCTTCTCTAGTGAACCACCGATCTTTGCTGGGATCCAGATGATGTCTGAATCTGACACGGTATTGCATTCTCGGCTTAGGAGGGCGGCCTCTGCCCGGTGGTCGAGGTACAAGCATCACCCGATGCTCCACAATCTCGTCGATGTCCGCTTCACCATCCATGGTTGGGGGCAGCATTGACCGTCTGGAAGGGAACTGTGCAGACTCTGCGAAAGATGCCAGCTTTGAGGCATGGAATACAGGGTGTGTACGTAGATGTGGGGGGATGTGAATCACATGGGAAGGTCCGTCCATCTGATCTCCCACTATGTCTAAGATCTCCCAAGGACCGAAGTACTATGGCATTAGCTTTCTAGAAATTCCCAGTTCCTGTCCCAGCTCAGATGATTTAACCCAAACTCGTTCTCCTACCTGAAATTGAGACGGCGGTCTGTGCTTATTCTCATATGCCACCATGGCATCTTGAGCTTTTCTAATGTGCTCTACAGCCTGTTGCAGTATTTGTTCATACTTGATAGCAAACTCTATGCTGCCACATGCTGCAGATGGTTGACTCTTAGGTAGCAGAAAATCTAAGGCAGTTCTAGGCTTCCAACCAAGATGCAGCTGGTTGGCGGTCATGCCAGTCGTGCTGTGTACAGCATTGTTGTACAGGCTGGCGATGAGAGGCAGTTTCTCGTCCCAGTCATCCTGACTTGGCTTAATGTAGTGCCTAAGTAAATGCTGCACTACTCGGTTCATTTGTTCCGCCTGTCCATTTGACTCGGGTTGATTCCTTGATGTCATCAGCAGTTTGGTGCCCATCTGTTGGGCTGTGCTTTGCCACAGTTCGCTTGTGAAACGTACATCCCGGTCACTGGCGATAGACTTAGGTAAACCAAAGTCTCGTACCCAGTTGTCCACGAACAGTCTGATGACATAGTCAGTTTTAGCAGTCTCAGACATAGCGATCAGTCTTGCATACTTAGAAAAGCGGTCTACTATAACGAAGATGTGTTTTTCCCAGACCTGCTGGTCACAAGAGTATCCATGAAATCCATGGAGACACTCTGACCAGGACCTTCAGAACTCGGCAAGGGCTTGATGAGCCCAAGCGGAGCCTGAGTCCTAGGTTTGTCACATTGATAGACCTGACAGGTTTCGACATACTTCTTGGCATCTTCCATCATAGAAGGCCACCAGAATTTCTGCACTAGGTTAGCTGAAGTTTTCCTATAACCGAAATGACCAGTTACCTCGTGAGAGTCACCTTAAAATAAACTACGCAAAGACTCTCTATTGGGTACACACAGTCTTTTATTCCTTGCCTTCTCAGCACCAACCTGGTGAGCAAGCCGCTAGCGCTAGCGCCCCGTTGCCGCCGGTCCGGCAAGGCTCGGGCCGCCGGTGCGACTAGTGTCCCGGGGGTCTCCTCGGGTGCTGGGCCTGTGCGCGCGCCCAGCAGACGTGTGTGGTGCTTTGCCACGTGGCGTCTGCTGTTGGTGACGCACGTGTCCCGCGACGCGCGGACAGGGGTAGCGCCAATTGTGGAAAGTTTGGTAAGCGAGTGTTTAGTGACGGCGGCTTCAGCAACGATGGAGGGGGGCACAAAGATGGAGGAACTGTCTGCGTGGACCACTGTGATCAACTACAGACTACAGTTGGAGGAGATGCAAAGGACGCTATGCCAGGTGAACGTGGATCTGCAATACGAGGTGYTGCTGGAGGGAGAAGAGACATATGATGGGCTGGATGAGGAGCTCTACGAACTGATTCTCTCTCGACAGCGGGACGCGAGTGACAGAGCGCGGGCGATCGCCGTCTTCTATGACTGCGTTGACATGGCACAGCGGATAAAGGATAAGTTCTCTGACCTCTTGGCGACGAGACATGCRCGTGGTTTGCCAGGCACTGAGATACAGACTGCATCTACACCTCCAACATCTTCTGCAATATCACCAACAATACTAACCTCACCATCTTCGACGACATCGAATTCGACATCCACTACTACATCATCGATGACGACATCGGATTCGACATTCACTACAGTTATATCATCGATGGCGATATCGCCATTCGCAGCAACGAGGCTAGTGAATACGACGAGCTCTGCTCAGCAATGGGGGCTGCTTGAGCAGGCTGACGTGGCAAGGGGGCAAGACGAGGGGCTGCCCGCTGGGGCGGATTGTGCGGATTGTCTCTACTTGGACGCGCTCACAAGTTGTGGCGCCAGGGGCCTTGAGGAGGGGCGGGGCCTGTGCGCCGAGATTGTTGAGCAGTTTTACAAGGATGGCGATGACGACACCGCTGTTGACCTTACTGATACCGACCCTTGGTATAAATCAGGAATTTCGTCTTTGGATAATAGTTCTTTGAAATCTCTACAAAGACAACTAACTGCTTTTCTATGGAGAGGTAATCATGAATATAACAATGTAATCAAAGCTCGGTCACAAGAGTAGGGAGGAGCAACAGATCCTTCAAAAGGGATATTCACTCACTCAAAGTCAAATCAGCCTACCGCATGCTTCGCCCTAGAATTAATTTAAAAGACAAGGTTTCTACCAGATGGAGAGAACAGCTGAATGTTAGTCAAGAAGATTTGAGGTCGGTCAGGTGGTTTAACGCAGTTAAGGAGAAACCGGCCAAAATCGCTTCACTCGAATGGCAGATTGAACATAGGTGTCTACCAGTAAATGACTGGCTGATTGATAGATCCTCGTTGGAACAGAAAGGACTAGCAGAAAGATGGTGTAAGCTATGCAAATCAGCCTTCCCAAGCAGAATCTACCCTGAAACTATAGAGCACATCTTTATGCAATGTCCGAGTTCAGTATGGCTTTGGAGGTGGTGGGATCGAATCTGGTCACGATTAGTCCCACAGGTTCCTTGGCCATGGGGATGGAAAGTTATTCTTCTTGAGACCTGGAATCCAGATCCGGAATTAGTAGGAAATGATGGGGATTTTGTGGAATGGGGAGAAGAGCGGTGTTGTGGGCCATATGGATGAGGAGATGCACGCATGAATGGGAAGGAGTTAGACTAGATGGTCCTGAATTTACAGACAATATTAAACAACAAATTCAGACATATATATTGAGCAAATGGGAACGAACAAAAGAAAAAGTTCAATTCCTCTCAGACAAAACAGAAATCCAAGACCATTTTCATAAATTCAGTCGTAATTGGCTGGGCGGAAACCAGGACAGGAGAATTGGTTGTGTCGTTTGGAATGGAGCTGGGAATGTGGACGACACTGTTCTAAAAAGAGATTACAAACTGGTCTTTGATGATTGGACTTCCATTGACGCAACTGTTCCCATGCGTCTGTTATCAGATTTCCCGGATCCCTTTCCTTTCCCAGCTACTACCCTTGTTCCCAGTTCATGGTATGGTTTATAGAATCAGTACTGCTAGCTTCAACAGGTATATCTGGCGTCCTGGACAAGATGAAGAGGTAGTGTGGTTCTTTTAGTTTCTGTTGACAGGAAGTGAGTGACAATCTCATTCATTTCTAGAACCTTGTTTCTTATTTATTCCGATTCACATACTGTATTCAAGCTGTACAATCAAGGGACGCTGGACCCGGTTTCCATCAGGTGATGCTCCCCACCAATAGATGGAGCTGTTTTGTTTAAAAAGAAAAAAAAAAAAAAAAAAAAAAGGAAGAGAGCAACGTACCTCCTAATGCTGCCCCCAACCACAAATTTCTCACCGGCAACCTGCTGTTTGTTGTGCTAAGGCAAAGACCGGTCATCATCTGAGCTGGGACAGGAACTGGGAATTTCTAGAAAGCTAATGCCATAGTACTTCGGTCCTTGGGAGGTCTTAGACATAGTGGGAGATCAGATGGACGGACCTTCCTATGTGATTCACATCCCCCCACATCTACGTACACACCCTGTATTCCATGCCTCAAAGCTGGCATCTTTCGCAGAGTCTGCACAGTTCCCTTCCAGACGGTCAATGCTGGCCCCAACCATGGATGGTGAAGCGGACATCGACGAGATCGTGGAGCATCGGGTGATGCCTGTACCTCGACCACCGGGCAGAGGCCGCCCTCCTAAGCCGAGAATGCAATACCGTGTCAGATTCAGACATCATCTGGTTCACTAGAGAAGAACTCATGAGAACTGCACCTCAAGTTATTGCAGGCTACGAAAGAGATCTCAAGGGAAAGATGCCTGCAGAATAGAAGACTTCACAGAGGACTATCGAAGTACAGGAGGAGGGAATGCGAGGATCTGGGTCCTCGGCAGGCTCCCCTGTTGCATATGTGCCCGCCCTAAGTGAAGGCAGGCCAAACAAAACACGAGAGGGGGTCCAGACAGTTGCGACATGCCAGTTGGTTAAAGGAAACACAGGCCGAGCAGCAAGAAAATGACACGGCCTTCCTGGCCCTTCCGAAAGTGCAGACCCTGGGCAAGAATCGCAGCCTCATACACAGAGTTGAGAGGCCCAACCGAATGAGGCCCAGTAGCCGCAGCAGAGGCGCAGCGTACTGGGGCCTACCGGAAGCTTCTGGGCCGAGGCCCAGGCCAGCCAGGCCTCCAATGGAGGCAGGCTCTTTCCATATAGGAAAGAGCTCGCTGCCTGGCTGGTTATTCGGCGAGCAGCAAGAAAATGACACGGCCTTCCTGGCCCTTCCGAAAGTGTAGACCCTGGGCAAGAATCGCAGCCTCATACACAGACAGTTGAGAGGCCCAACCGAATGAGGGCCAGTAGCCGCAGCAGAGGCGCAGCGTACTGGGGCCTACTGGAAGCTTCTGGGCCGAGGCCCAGGCCAGCCAGGCCTCCAATGGAGGCAGGCTCTTTCCATATAGGAAAGAGCTCGCTGCCTGGCTGGTTGTTCGGCACTTGCATGCTGGCGGCAGTGCTGCTGGAGCGGATGCTCGTGGGCTGCTGCTGGCGCTGAGAGGCAAGGTGCTAGCGCGTGCGGTCGTGNTGGAGCGGATGCTCGTGGGCTGCTGCTGGCGCTGAGAGGCAAGGTGCTAGCGCGTGCGGTCGTGCAGGGAGCAGGGCGCTGCTGAGGGCAGCGCCATAGCCCAGCCTCCATAGCTGGATGGGCTTGGACTACAGTGAGGCGCAGGGGTGGTCTTCTGGTGTAAGATGGAAGACGTGGGTGTAAGACGAGGGAGAGAGAGAAGGATGATGATGATGATGATGATGATGATGTGAGGGCACATACCTCGTATTGGCGATGGTCTGCTACGGGCGACATCTTCAAGTACTTCGTTGGCTGCTGACGTCAACAGTTGCATTGTCAATTAGTAGGCTAGTAGTAGCTGTGTAGGGAGTAGGCTGGGCACCAAGCCCCAAGTAGGGAGAAGGGTCTGGATACATATGTTGGTGGTGGCGAGAACAAGCTCTCATTGACATTGGTTTTCAGTGTTACGATTCTCCATTGGTGTCATATTGGTGCAATGCTGCTTTCTGAACACTGTGATACGATCTGGCTTTCAATGTGACTGTGCAATCTGAATATTGTCATCTTGCTATTGCTCATTTTCCTTGCAATAATAATAAAAGTAAGAAAAAATAAAAAGACAATTAAAATCAGTGAGTGGACGGGAACGTTTTTGACTCCGCCATCTTTGGTGATTTTTCATTTTTTTGGGCCTAGTCAAATGCCCTGGAAATTTATAGATCTGTATTTCACATGATACAGAACTCGTTAAAAAAAATTCAAAAAAAATATTTTTTTTAGGCCCTGAAATAAAGTGAAATATAAAGTGTAAAGAGAAAAACACAAAATAGTGAGTGGCCGAGCACGTTTTGACACCGCCATCTTCGGCGATTTTTCCTATGTTACCTGATCGGACGTCCAGGGCCCCCCTGACGGTCCGGGATGTCCGCCCGGGCAACCGGGCCAAACGTCCGACCGGAGCCCTCTGTCCGAACCTACATAAAAATATCTATATATATATATATATATATATATATATATAT